GCCTAAAATTCTTACAATTAACATGAGAAAAATAATAATCAGATTTCTATAGTTGTATCATTTAACTATTAGAGGAAAAATGTGAATCGTACCTTAGTTGTTGATTTTGTTTTAATACTTCTACCTCTTCCAGGTGATTCTCATTTGTTTAATTCTTATTCATTTGTTCTACCTGATCAAATCAGCAACCATAATGGGCCTAGGAAATAGAAAAAATAGCCTATCTATTGATGTTTGAGTTATATTTCTTTCTAAAAATTTAATAATCTATCAAATTCTGTTCTTGTAGAACATAAAACATATATTCTATGTATTAAAATGGCATTGCCAGCCAAGCTCAGTGACTTGTACCTGTAATCCCATATACTCAGGTGGCTCAAGGAGGAGGATCATTTGAGGCCAAGAGTTCGAAACCAGCCTGGGCAACATAGCAAGATCCCATCTCTAAGAAAATTTAAAAGAAATAGCCAGATATGGTGGTGTGCATCCGTAGTCTCAGTTACTGGGGAGGATGAGGCAGGAGGCTCTTTTGAGCCCAGGAGTTAGAGGCTGCAGTGAGCTTTGTTCTGTTCCCTGATTGGGCCACTGCATTCCAGCATGGGTGACAGGACTCTACCATCTCAAAAAAACAAAAACAAAAACAAAAAAAACAGCTTGTGACATTGCTTTATATTATTTTATGTAGATTATAGTGATGTATTAAAGGTGTGTGTATACAAACACATAACATGAAAGTTTTTTAAAAAGTAGAAACATAATTAGATGATGTATACTTAGAAAAGTCCAATAGACTTACCTGGTAATTTTAACTTCAGTCTCTGAAATTAGACTAAAGAACGAAAAAACTAAATTAAAAAAAATTTAGAAAGATTATAGTATTTAACTTGAGTGCCATTCATAACTTTTTAAAGACTTATGTTCTACCAGTCAAAGACTTTAGTACCTGGAGATTGTGTCCTAAGAGGAGCCCTAAGTAGGGCATCTTTGTAGAGAAGGTCTTATGTCTTCTGAAGGAAATAGTATTTCCAGATCTAAAACTTAGGCTGACCTCTTTACTTTGAATATTTTGAGGATCTTAGTGGAAATGGATATGAGTGAAGTTTGTGAAAGGGCATTGTGTAGTATTAATGTAACTTTTGGGGATAGATACAGGTATATAAAGGTATAGGTATATAATGTGATCTAGATATGTACTTATAAGGTCCCAGAATAAGTGATTTCTCATCTTATCCATGCTTATATTTGGTCAACAATCTATTTCTGAATACATGAAGTCTTTTAAATTTTGCTGGTCATACCGTGGTGATAACTATAAAAATGTATAATCTTTTAATTACTTTATAACCTTTTGGGAAGAGGGTTGGATTACTATGTTATCAATAAATTTGCCAATTTTGTATCCTCTTTCCCCTAGATGAGGCTTTTGAGGAAGTGACGGGGTAGGGAACAGTATTTCTTAAATGAAAGTGAAGAAAGTAAGTTGAAGACCAAAACCTACACATTCTCGTTTATAATAGTTTTAAAAATGACAAAGTCTGCCTCATTTTTTTGTGTATGTGGTAGAGTGTTATACTGAGAGTACATGTTGTTGGAGGGAGCAGACTTAGGGAAACAAAACATTGTACTTTAGACCCAGATTTGTTACTATGTAAATGGCTTTAAACATGCTAGTAATGAACCTCATCTCAAATAAGCGGGTGTGTGGCCTTTTCTCCAAAAACATGTATTACCTTCACCATCTGAAATTGGATGATAAATGCTATTTTCTCAAATGAGACTAATAGCTAACTGTTTGATTATAAATACATTACATGAGAACTTTGTATCCTATATCACCTGGAGCAGTGCTTTATATGAAGAGACTCTCAAAAAATATATTGAAATTGTTGGTGTTTTGAAATCATTTTCATAATTCTTTCTAGATCTGTGATCTGAACTAAGTGATATTTGCTTTGTCTTCAGATTGTTTTTAGTTGTGTTGTAACTGGATTGTGTTGGAAAAAGTAGTCCTTAAGTGACATAGCTTCAGGAGATTGTAAATATTAACATGCTGAGGTATTACAGAGTCTTTTATTCTATTTGGACCTTTTTTAAGTATTTTAAAAAATGATTGATAGAATAGGCTGGGTACGGTGCCTCATGCCTGTAATCCTAACACTTTGGTAGGCCAAGGTGGGTGGATCATGAGGTCAGGAGATTGACACCATCCTGGCTAACACGGTGAAACTGTCTCTACTAAAAACACAAAAAATTAGCTGGGCGTGATGGCAGGCTTCTGTAGTCCCAGCTACTCGGAAGGCTGAGGCAGGAGAATGGTGTGAACCCGGCAGGTGGAGCTTGCAGTGAGTCGAGATTGCGCCACCGCACTCCAGCCTGAGTGACAGAGTGAGACTCCGTCTCAAAAAACAAACAAACAAACAAAAAAAAGAAAAAAATTGATAGAATATATTTGAAGACAGTATGTATGTGTGCATACATATATATATAGTTAGCAGAAATGAAACTTAACTTTCATTTCTATTATGTGAACAAATTCTCACTTCCCTGATGTATTGGTATTTTTGTTTTAGCCAAACGTCACCATTTTGACCATTGTTTGTTAGTGTCAAGGTATAAAAATAAATATTACTGTTTTTCTCTTCCTAATTTTGGTTATTTTTCCTATAGATATTATCTTTGAGTTACTTGATAATTTGTGAATAATTTTATAATTCCTCTGGTTTTTCTGCTGTGTGATAAAAGTTATTGTGCATAAGCTTAATAGCCATTGAATTTGACTTCACTATGGTGCATTATAGGAGAATCTATTGTTACCTAATTTAGTCATAATTTTATCATAGCAGCTAAACATCTCTTATAATTTTAATTGTTATCAAGAAGAATGACATCATTTAATTTGACTCAAAATGTAGAAGGATGGATGAATGACAAATTAATAATTTACTACCTTTGCATAATACTGAAGCATAGCGTTATTAGAAGGATTGATGGCAGAAAAGGTTAACAAATTTGAACAGCTTTCATTAGCTTTACATCGTCATATGTTTGTGGTGCTGACTGAAATAGGCTTTGTAGGAGATCTCAGTCTAGGGAACTAATTACTTGTGCCGATTGCCGCACTGATGAATAGAACCTCATTGTATCATTCCCCTGAAGACGAGGAGCAGCCAGTGATTCACGACTGCATCCTGGCTGATATTTGATAATAATTTTCACAGATAAATGTAGGTAGGCAGAATGATGAAGTGCCTATCCAAGCTCCATGACTATCAAAGCCCTACACATAGCCATCTGTGTACTGCGTTTTTCCTTCTCACCTAAGGAGAATTTCATTTTATTAATTGAATTAAAACAACTGTTGTCTTTTGATTGTGTGTATATTCTGTGGTTATTTATTTATTTTTAAATAACATCGTGGTTTTATTTCAAATTTAGACAGAATAATGAAGAAATATATAATAATAGCTTTTTAATTTTTCCTTTTTCAGAACTGTGATTCTTATACTTTTTTTGTATTACATTTTGATTACATTATATCTCCTTCTCTTGACCAAAATCAACCAAGGAAATATTTGACGTTCTTATCCCTTCAGCATTTTCAGAGATCAGTCTCTACTGTTTTAAAAAAATTTTCTTTAAATAATGTACTGTTTATTTATGCTTTTTATTAATACAAGATGCTTTTTAATTGATAAAAGTATTTATTTAAAAACCTATTTTGAATTTTTAAAGATAACATCTTTAAAACATCAAATAAAGGTAACTTTTACTTGGGTATTTTGGGACTGTCAGTTGATAAAGACTACTAATTTGTCAAAGCTGACAGATACAATTTTATTAGCTCATGAAATATAACTAAGATTGTATTTTGTATTAGTCATTCCTGAAGAAGTTTCGATTAAGAATAATTTTTTAATTTCATTATTGAAACAGGTGTTCAGGCTGTATATCTTTATTGAATTAATATATTCTACAGAGATTTTTTCTTACTATAACTGAAAAACCTTCAGTATTTTCATTATAAAATATTTTTCCAGCATGCTAGATCATGATTAGTTAACAGGAGAGAAAGCTGACATTTATATATTGCCATATAAAATGTCTATGTAATAGGGAAAAATATAGAATTTGAAATGAGCAAACCTTTTTTTAAAAAATACATTTCCAAAAGTATGCTTTTGATATAGCAATTATTTCACATCATATAGCATGTAGTTTTTAATTAAATATAAAAACAGAGTACATAAAACAGAAATCCAATCTGATTTGCTTGAAAATAGATTGCTATTTCACTCTACAGGAATGGTTTATTTAAAAACAGTAAATGGAAAAGAAATGCATTTTCTTGTGTTGTTCTAAGCCTCAGGGGCTAAATGTAATGAATATTTTAAGAGATTATTTTAATTAAATTCCTGCACATCTAAACAGAGTAATATTTTATTATCACATACATAACCATGTAACTGAGATATTCATTAAAGTTAACACTTTCCGGACCAAGAATTCATGGTATGATTTACTGACCTTGTGCAAAAAGGCACAAATTAGGAAGAAAAATGAAGGGGGACGGACTTTGATTAATATAGGTAATGCTATACCATATTTATAATAGCCTTTTCCCTATTCTGGTTTATAAATGCAGCTACAGAGAAAGGTGCCCTGCTGAGGCTGAAATGAGGCTGAAATCAGAGCACATGCCACTAGAGTGTGGGGAAACTGATCACACTGTCAGCAATTCATTTCAAAATGATGTATTTAGTGCTCATTTCACCTTCCAAGAAAAGGAAAAGGAGTTCCTTAGACTAGAAGGTGATATTGTTATTTTCAAGGACATACCTAAGTTAAAGATTGCAGAAAGGGGAGTGTGAGATGGAGGGAGAATTAAGTGGAAGGAGAGGGAAAAAAAGGCAGAGCAAACAAGGAGAGCTTTATGCAGAAATTCAGTGCTACCACGCTGTTTGATAATTGCTAACATATGTGGCTTCTCTGTTTCATTGTAGTCGTCCTCGTGAGTTCTGGCGCCTTGACTACTGGGAAGATGACTTGCGGCGCCGGCGACGATTTGTGCGTAACCCTCTAGGATCGACACATCCTGAAGCGACACTAAAAACAGCCGTGGAACATGGTCAGTGTATAAACCATTCCTTGCCAATAGCAGCAGGTACAGGACTTGGTAATGAAGAGCATAACTTCATTATTACAAGGCACTGTAAAATGGTCCAACACCACATTTCATGGTTATTCATACCAGAAAGAGAAGTTAAATTTTTATAGTTACTATAGAGTCCTATTAAATTATGGTATCGGGTATATTTATTTATTATGTTACACATACAAAACTTACTTAACATAGACCCTTTGTTTCAGAGTACAAAGATTAAATATGTCTCCTTTTAAGCGACACATTCAGCTTTGAGTAAACGAATCCAGGAGGCATGCCTTAAATCCATGAATATCAGGAAGACAGCATTTTCAAACCAGATAAGTTTCCAGGTTCTGTTGTGTATACATGGTTTTCCCCCAGTCGTGGTATTTTAGCATGAGATCATGAAGTGAAAGATAATAATAAATGTCCAAGTGCCTAGATACTTTCTGAGCCTTGATATGTAGATGGTTATGATAGATGGCTCATGGAAAAATAGAATAAACATTATTTTCATATGTTCCTATTCTGTATTATTTTGTTATCAGAGTTTAACAAAACATTTTTCCTTTTTTGTTACAATGCATATGACTATGATTCAGTTTAGGTAAAAGTCTGATAAGTAAATTGGAAAAAGTGAAAAGGTCCTTTGGATTTGATAGTATATATTTTTATCATAAAATTTCACTTATTTTTTGATTTTTGAAAGTCAAGATATATTGGTTAAGGGGGAAATGCTTCTCCCCATGTTAAAATTATTCTGATTTTGTAAAATATAAATTGATTTTTAATAAGGTCAGAAATACTTTTAATTTTCCTTTTTCAGGGTATTTTTTTTAACATGCAGCAGCTTGTGGTTAAATGGAAATATGTAGTATACAAAATAAATGTTAATTTATATTCAATAAGGATATTACGAATTTAGATTAAAAATCTGTAATCTTAGGTTTGGCCTCAGTCAGGCAGCTTAACCTCTTGCACTCAGCCTTAAAGAGCCATTTCTGGAAGAAAATGTCCACAATATGTCATCAGATATAACACCAAATGTGACATCAGTCCTTTAAAATAAATGATCATACAGAGAATAGTCAATAACAGAGTGATCTAAAAGCAATAATAGTCTCATGGCCCTACATCTTCAACTACAGGAGGTGGAGAAAGAGAAATAAAATGTAGAATTAATTAGGCCACTTTTGCTTTTAGAGTTCATATAGTTTTTAGGTGGTGATAACAGATTTCAGAGGTTTTTTTTTTTCTTTTTTTGTTTTTTTTTGGGGGGGTTTCTGGGTTTTTTTGGTTAATGATGCTTACATTGAGAAAGTGAACTTTTTTTTTGCAATTTTCTATTGCCATGTCCACTTAAAATTTGAAATTTAATTATTTTTCTCTCTTCTAAACCATCATTTACAGTAATTTGTGAGTTCTGAGATCTATACATGGCCATATGTTTTCATAAAAACATTTTCCTTTTATATCTGGAAGGGGATGATTTGTTTTGTAAAATTGCACATAGACTATTAACCTTTTATCCTTAGATATCAATAATTTAATTTAAAATTTGTGGTATAGATTTAATACAGAATTTATTAAAATATATTCTTATCAAAAATAGTACATTTAACCATTTTGAAGAATTACAGGATTCTTAAGAATGAATAAATTTTAATTGTTGAACTTTTAAAATCATATTGTTTTGTCAGCTTTTTTAATGCTAAGCATCTGCAATAATGTTTAACAAAAAAAGAATTCATTAACATGATTTTACTATCATCTAAGACTCTTGACTTGTATAGAAGCAGATTTCATTCTGACTACTCTTGATAGTAATTGAAAGGTTAATCCAGTGTTAATTAATTATCTGTTTTATTGTGCATTTTTAAATTGAGAGAGAACAGCAAAGGTAAGCATTGAATAAAATGTTATAGTAATTTTATAATTATTGTCACACTCCAAAGCATTAAAAACAAAACTTGGGTTTGAAATATATGTTTAAAAATCTGAATGTGTAGGAGATTCTTCAGTTGTCTTACAATTTCAGAGATATATCATATTTAATATAACATTTTTTGAAAAAAATACAAATTCTAATCCTACCTCATGTTTATTTTATTTTAAATAATAAAGAAATAAATTCAACACACAGATTGTATTATGGTATTGTTTGATGTCAGCATAATTTATGCTAATATATTCTGTAAACAAAGAGCTTAATTTTTTACTGGTTTATTAAATATTTTATAGTGACATTCAATTTTAATTTGGTGTCTAAAAATTTTGGAGTATTAAAGGAGCTAACCAAAATAAACTAACTAAGAATTAAGTATGCAAAACAAAATTGTTAATGTGATCAAAAAGCCTTTGAAATTACAGACTTTAACATGGATAAATACCATGCTTCAATGTTGAATTTAAATGTTTAAAATAGATATTAATGAGCATTGTATGTCAGTCTTATATTTTTATGACTTCTCACTTTTATTTATAATTTAACTAAGGAGATAGGACATTTTAAAAATGCAGAATCTTAGAACACCACGAACTGTATTATTATCAAAGGAAGATATCTAAATAGATGTGCCATTGGAGATCAGTTATGTATTTTAGTAGTAAGAGCCATCTTTTTTATAGATTGATTTGATTTGAAGGAAAGCCTCTAGTGTAAAGGTGGCAGAGTAAATACCTGAAGAGTAATGTTCTCTGTTTGGGCGATCAATACCAGCCCCATGACTCTACTTCTGGCTACCTTCTAGTTAAAAACAAATTTTTTAATTCTGACAATTTAATTGCCCTTCCCAAGTTCACATTAACTTGCTTGGGGAAAAAAGCTTTAGGTAATTTTTCAAACAGAGACCCTCCAAAGTGGTTATTTATAAAAGTCATGTTGTAATGGGAGATTTCTTTAACTTTGCAGAAACTGAGTCATATTTTTAAATTAAAATTAATACTTCCTCTTATGATTAAATATTCTTTATGGAAATCAGCAGCTCAAGCAAAGCTGGGCATTTTATTCTTGAGGGCATTTTCTTCCATTTTATAGTTTTAAAATTTATTAGAAATTAGTAGCAATGATTTGTAACATTTTCCTAGTGCCAGAGCCTAGGTTAGCAGTTATTTATTATCAGAGCATTTTAGATGTAGAAGGAACCTAAGGCTAATATCTAGTCTAACTTTATTCTTTACAGATAAGGAAACTGAGGAAAGAAAGGGCCAGTATGATTTTTGGTAGATAAAGGACTAAAAAGCCCATGTTAATGGACTGAAATCCAGATTTTCATCAGTGTGCTGTGCTGTCCTCTAAAATTCATTATTAAATATAATGGGAATTTTATATTCAAATTAAAGCCATGTAAAAAGTGTTTTAAATGGTAGAAAGATTGGTTTTAATTCAGGTGCTAAAACAGTGTAGCAGAGAATCCTATTGAATTCAAGACATTTTTATTTTGTAGAGAATGTGCTTTGTAATAGAAATATATAAGGAGAATTTAACATCATTTTAAAAGTATCTTGTAAGCATATGGAATGATACAAGTAACTCATTTGGTTTTCTAGGGATGACAGATCTTGTAAAGATCTTAAATCACGCCATTGTCTCATAATTTCAATAATGCCAGGTGCTGTTGTTTCCTTTTTAGGATCAACATATACTAGCTTCTCTCTAAAATTTTGGGTAACGCATGATTATTACAAGATGCACCTGGCTTATTCTCCTAATTATGCTTTGTAGTTTCATTAATTTTTCCGGAGCCAATTTACTTGACTTGGAATGCTATGGACATGGCATAAACTATAGAGGGGAATCAATTAGTTTAGAACAATAGTTGATTATAAGATATTCTTTATGTGTCCTGTTCAGAATACTGTTATGGTGTGTGCTTCACATCACACTAAGTAGATACCCATTTTTATTTTATGTATGTTCGAAGACACTCTGTTATTCCAGTAGTATTCTTTTTTAAAAATGGCTAATTTGTAAAGTATAAACTTCTTTTACTTTAATATAGGCTATTGATGATTCCAGTTCACTTGCTCAGTAGATGTTAAAAAGGATTTTTATCAAAGGTGGAACAGTTTTGTGTGTGTTTTTGCTCTTTTTATATTTTAATTCTACTTACTTGTTTTGTATTGGATAGATAAATCAACTCATGTCCAGAGTTAGCTCTGAAGAACTTGAATTTTACATTTTGAGGACCAGCCTCTCTCTCTCTTAGGCCTTTCATTGTTCTTAGCCTTAGTGAATCAAATCATTTTTAAAGATAGCATTTCTGACAGATTTCTCCTATTTTATATAACAATTGCAGTTTAAGTATTAAGTTAGGATAAATATTAAACTAGAATAAAAGGTGAAATTAAACCAGAATAAAAGGCATTTCTTAATAATGATATGAAAAATTTAAACGGCGATCACATTAGTAACAATTTTATTAGCCAGAAATATCTGAATTGAGCTTTAAAATGGAACCCAAAGTATATTCTGACTTCATCCAGTTAACTTTTAGACTAGTGTAGAATATACTCACAGAAGATATCAAAATACTTGTTTATAATGGTTGAGAATAAGGCAAATGAAAGTTAAAAATATACTTTTCCCCAGCACATATAAACAGGATAATAATCCTTTATTTTATGCTTGGAAAAGTTTTGTTCTAATTTTTTTTTAAAGTTCTTTAGCAGAAAGCTATTAGACCACTGAGAATTGAACACCAGAGCATGTGGTGCATATTAGAGTACTGTTGGTAATTTTACTGCTGCTAACTTAAAATCCTCAAGGGGGAGTTAATTACAGGAAAACCATTCTAAATATCAGTAAGCTGCATATTTTCCATGACAAGAGGTTTTTCAGTGGAGCTTGAACAATTCCAGAATCTGAGCTTGTAAAAATAAGTAAATAAATAAATTAAAGTGGGTGTATGTATGCATACAGTACACCTATAGTATGTAAAATTTTTAATGAAACTTTAATTCAGAAGTTGCCTTACTGTGTTTTAATATAGGCAGCATGATTAGAACATATTTAAAAAATTTTTAATTTCAATTGGAAGGGATAATTATATTTCTCGTGGTCATTTAAATGAATGTGAATTGATTTTTTGAGCTATTTTAAACCATTACATATTGCCACTGGGGACTCTCATTTTTTTGTAAATGTTTGCAGATTAAAGAGGTTTCTTCTTCTTTCACGTAAGCTTGGTGTACTTTAGGACATGTATGGCAATAATCAGAGGAAGTAATGAGCAGGGTGTTTAGTTGTTTCTGATGTGTTTGGCATGTTCATCAATTTTAGATTTGGAAATGAATATTTTTTGTTCTTGATTATTATTCTGATTTAACCTTTTAAAATTCACTATGAGAAACATAAGTATTAGTAAACAAATTTATATGCACATTCATATTTGAACTGTGGTTGTTTTGTTTTCTTTCTTTTTCTTACATCTAAGAGCTAATATGGCATAGTGGTTAAGAGCCCAGATTCTGGCACCATGCTGCCTGTTTTTAAATCCTGACTCTAATTGTCAAAAGCCATGTTAACTTAGGCAAATTACGTAACCTCTCTGAGTCTGCTTTCTTATCTTAAAATTAGAAATAAGCAGAAGGTTTATGAGAATTAAATGAGCTAACTATGTAAAGTATTTTTAACACTCCCTGGCTCATGCAAATATTAGCCTTATTATTAATATTTCTGCTTTGAAGAAGGAATTATAAATCCAAGAAATAAAAAGAATGTGGTATACTGTTTCTGTACTAAAATCTAACAGGCAAATAATAATTTATTATAATTTACTGTATAAAAACATTTAGAAGATGATGCTTCATTTGCATTTCTCAGTGGCCAATATATTTTTAATGAAGTTGATAGCAAATTGCAAAAGATCTTGTTTAGCCTCAGGGCAGTGTTTCTGATTTTAGAGTAAGGAACTATAAATACTTGAAATATAAGTGATTTTAAAACGTAGTTCTGTTTTTCTAAAAATTATTGGTTAATTTTAAGTGTATTTCTTTTTAGCATTTAAAAAAAATAGGCCAGGTGAGATTACTCACGCCTCTAATCCCAGCAACTTCGAGAGGCTGAGGTGGTAGGATTGCTTGAGCCCAGTAGTTCAAGATCAGCCTGAGCAACATGGGAAGACCTCATTTCTACAAAAAGTTAAATTAAAAAATTAGCTGGGCATGGTGGCAAGCACTTGTGGTTCCAGCCACTTGGGAGGCTGAGCTGGGAGGATTGCTTGAGCCTAGGAGGTAGAGGCTGCAGTAAGCTGTTACTGTGCTTTTGCACTCCAGCCTGGGTGACAGAGCAGGATCCTATCTTGAAAAAATTAAATAAAAAATAAATATAGCCACTTTAATTAGATACATTAAAGTAATCTTTTCAAACATATGTCCAGATCATCATATGTGTGTAGCTTACAATGCAGCCTGTGGGTATGAAAGATTTTATTTACCCATAGAGTGTATTTAAAGGTAAATGTAGAAAGCTCCTTCCCATGACTTCTTATTAAATAGAAAACTCCTATGTTTCAGTAGCACTGTAAGTATTGTATTTAAATGGTATACATGGTGAATTCACAATAAATATGAGAAAAAAACTTTTACCTTTAACTTTATCTGTAAATGTACTTATTAAACCCTAAGAACCTTTGATCTGCCAAATCAGGCAACACATGTGCAGTTTATTTGGAATAAATTATATATATGTATATATGTCATGTTACTGCAAATTGATTGCTTTATTCTTTTTGGGGTTTGGGCCTTATGCCTAGGTAGAGGCTGCAGTGGAGCAAAAAAACAAAAAAAACTCCAAAAACCCTAGCCATCCGATTTTCGTATCAAAAGCTGCAGCCTGGGTAGATCAGGTGCTTTACCTCTGGGATTTATCTAGCTGGAAGCCAGGAGGGTCAGGTGAAGAGTCTTAACTTTCCCTTATATGACACTATTCAAAAAAAACAAGATTAGGAAAAGATACACATACGAAGTTTTACAAATCACAATTCAAAAGTTAGCATCTGCCTTCCTGCTTGTCTTAAGGAGAAAGCTGCTCAAAACAACAGGAGTTGTCCTGGAAGGATGTGGGTTTTGAATCAGAGTTTTGAATTTCAGGGTTTTCCACTTTCAGTTGTGTCTCTGCTCTGCTTTCGGATCCCATTGTTGAGTGTAGGTGCTCCTCAGGGCTGCTGCTTCCCTCTCTAGATGTGGTGTTCTCTTTTCCTCCGTCCGCCTGCAGTTGCTGCCTTGTCGTAGTGCCTGAGTCTGGTACTGCTGCTCTCCACAGGCTGCTCCAGTTCAGGCCGCATGAGGCCCCTTGCCCACATGCCTCTCATCCCGGGCTTTCTGTTATGTTTGCCCCTGGGGTGCCTTAGCCCTTTAGTTTAAACATGCAGAGGAGGTAGTGTTTGAGCTTTCACTTAGTTTCCACACTGCCTTGCTCCTGGATATTTGTATAAGGGACGAAAGGGCGGAGGAGTGAGTGTATGTGTGAACATGTGGATGAGGGTAATGTGAAGGAAGGAAGGAGGGAGGGTGGATAAAGAAGGGATTGCAGCTTTGAGGAGCTGCTATAGTCTTACTAGTGTCAGATATGGCTTCAGTATCTGGGCCTAAATCCTCACTGGCTTGTGAATGTCTCTTAGTTTTAACCCTTTTTAATTCTGGATTCTCCTCCACAGCCACTCCTCAACCATTCCAAAATGTTTGTCAGTATAACATTATTTGGAGGAATGAATCAGTCCTTATTTTTTGGTGTTAAATATTGTTTCCAAAACTGGGTTTTGATTGTTCCTATTAATGAATTTTCCAAAAAAAAAAGTACTGCTTTTGAACCCACTCCTCCCCTAACTATAAGTAAATAAATGGTTTGGTGAGCAGTGCAGGGGTCAGATTTAATGGGATTAGGGTGCTTGTTTAGGGTAACATTAGACTAGGTTGGGGGATCAAGTTTGTCAGATCAGACGTGTGCCATCCCAATCACTTTCTCCACTGTGGCTGACTCTGTGTATAAAAGATTGACCATCTTTGGCCACCTACCCTTACCCAAGCCCCTACCCCTCTGCCGAAGTGCTCTTCCCAGAACTGATGGACAGCTTTGTTTCCTTTTCATTTCAGCCACAGATGAAGATATCCTTGCTAAAGGAAAACAGTCCATCAAGAGTCAGGCTTTAGGAAATCAGAACTCAGAAAACGAGATCCTCCTGGAAGGCGATGATGATACTCTGTCATCCGTGGATGAGAAAGATTTAGAGAATCTTGCTGGTAAATTTGGTGGTTGTGCAGATATTTCAGCTACCTCTGGGACAATAAGCATCTAATTACTTACTTTTTCAGCTGTGACCACTAGGACTACCAAGCTTATACCCACAATTGCATTAATTGGTTATTTCAAACACTACCCCCTTATCTTCCATAGTTTCTCTTTTATTTTTCTATTCTGTTCAGTCTTCTTACTCTCCTCATTTTTTTCTTTTATGAATAATTTTCACTGAAAAAGAAAAAAGTTTAAAAGCAGCAACAAAAGAACAAAATTGCTTCACCCATCCCGTAGGAGTTACCAAATCTCTGTAAATTAGCACTATAGGTAAAATTCTGCCAGTTTTTTTTTGTTTTTGTTTTTGTTTTTTATAAATAAATCTTGGAGGGAGAGAAGCTATTTGTTTTGATATACAGGTCTTAGTGAACATGCTGTATATGCATGTTACTCTCTCAAATCAATTCTGAGAATGCCATGGCTTTTCACAACATTCACGTATTTTGCCTGATGTAGGAATTTTGATTTGCACTCTGCAGATTCTCAGTTTTACATCCCTTATGGGAAAAATTCTCTTGTTTAGCCAGAAATTTTAGTCATTCATTAAATGGCTTTTTTACTTTAATACCTGTGGCTGTGTCCCTCAAGGAAGAAAGTCTGAAAGGTTCTATAATTTCAATAGGTGAAAATTACATAGTTTTCCATTTTGATAATTTTAAGAGAAAAGGCATTAAAAATCTTGCATTTGGTGACATATCTGCAACCTGTGCTACTATGCCACTTGGTAATGAAAAGCAAAAAGAGAAGATGGTGTCTTCTTTGATAACTGTAAACCTCTCTGTAAAGTACAATAAAATTAATTGGTGCGAGTGCAGAGTAAGGTAGATACTGCTATTCTGTAGTCTTTTCCTTCGCATCCATTTACCCATTTCTTCCTTTATTTTGCTTCTATTCTTGCTGCTGGTAATATATTCATACAGTAATAGAGGTGAAAGGGGAGTTTAATTATATAATCTTGACAATGGCAATAGGATTAAGAAGTAATCCACACTAATAAAGTGGTGTGGGTTAGAAATGAAGTGGAAATTGTCAGGGGTCTTCTGTAGGACCTAGGCTGCCCTAGCTCCTGCAGCTGTCTGCTTACCCTATAATTGAATGTCTGAGAGTGATTGAAAAAATGTTATTTCTTCTCAGTATTACATGCTAATGTACAGAGGGCAAAAGGAGACAGCAAAAGAACACATAGCTTCTTATTTCATCCATTTATAAGGATGAGCTTTGGGAAATCATGGCTGTTCTGCAGCTATCTGCTGCCCATCTGCAAACACAATGTATTTGTACATTGGGAATAGAGGGCAAAACCTGCTCTGATCTCCGCAGAGCATCCCTTCTATTGTCCTACTGGCACACATTAAGATTGATGTGAGATTAAGCACTATCACCCGTCTAACAATCGATGGAAATGTCAATTCATCTGAATTTTGAAACACTTATTCACCCATTGATTACCTGAATAGGCGCACCTTGTTTATAGGCACTATGTTAATTCAGAACTATAAGTGCCAATCTTCTCTTACGCTGTTTTCTTCCCCTATAGGATTTATACCATGAGGAATTGACAATGGAATTTTAAATTCTTTCTACATTGATCTCTCTCTCTATCTGTGTGTGTGTGTATATATATATAAAATTTTTAGTTCATATTTTATATTTAGCTCTAATATACATTATGCTGTTATATCTGTAGTGAATCTATTGTTTTCAGTAGCAGTCTGATTTGTCTCTTTGATAAGCCCTGTGGAGATTTGATTATTCCAATAAAAATTCATTCACTTGGAAACCCACCCTCCAGCTGTTTACTCCCAGAGTCCCTGAACTACACTAATATTAGATTTGGAAGCATTGAACAATACTTAACAGTGGAAAGGAAGGCTTAGAAAAGAAGTATTTTTACCAGTCATTGATGGAGTAAAGTTGTTATGGAAGAGGTTTTGTGTCAAGCTGGCATAAAATCTCTATCAGAAAATATGGTTTAACATTTCCCACTTCATTAATAAGCTAGTGATCCTTTTGTAGTTGTGCCTCTACCATACTGTAAGCTAACTCCTGCCCTTGGAAGCCTGTTGAGGCTTCTTTGCTCCTGGTTGTTGTTCATGTTGTTAGATAGCCTGAGGCCTGTTTTCTAAATGGAATGTGGATGGACTTATTTAGGCAGAGCCACTTCTTACCTAGAGATTAGACCAAAGCTTTGCAGACTCCCTGTAAAATAATTGCATCCTAGTTTACTGTTATCATCAACCTTCTGTTATAGATCTTCTAGTATGAGAATCCTGACTTTGCATTTTCAGAGGAAGATTTGGGGTGGACAGAATATTTAACTGTAGAAGTAGTTGGCAGGCAGTTCAGTACTAGAAGTGAGAATGAAAAGATTAAATACAATTTCTGGTCAAATTTGATTTTTTGAAAAATGTCATTCCAACTTGTGTGGCTTGTCTTTTCCTTTTGGCAGGTCCTGTTAGCCTGAGCACACCAGCTCAGCTTGTGGCCCCCTCGGTTGTAGTAAAGGGCACTCTTTCTGTCACCTCCTCCGAACTCTATTTTGAGGTGGATGAAGAGGATCCTAACTTCAAAAAAATCGACCCCAAGGTGAGAAGATGAGGGGGTTTCATTTTTTCTTATGATGGGATGCTGGGTGCTGTTGGATAGGATTCGGATTGGTAAATCTGACAGGCTTAGTTTGAATTTCCTCTAAATCGCCTTGGCCTATATGCAATGTCATTATCTTCTTTAGTTTATGATTCTCTACCAGTTAGTAAGATTATTGAAGTTCATTTAGATTCAAAAACAAATTCTACTTAATGGCATTTATCATTAGCTCTTTGTGAGGAGGGGAAGGAACCTCAGGGAACATTGTCTATAAATATATTTTGCCTCAAAGGGTCAAGGGTGAATTAAGATACAAAATTCAGTGAGATTGAGAGTGGAATTATTTTGTTTAGCCTTTATGTTTTCTGGATATGATGTCAATATATCACTCTCCTTGCTTTGTCCCCATGACTTACTACTCTGTCGTGCATGCAAGCATGTTTTGTGTGTGTGAGATACCTCTGTTTCCTATTACCTATAGTAGATTTTACAAGGCACTGCATAATTTTGTATTCTTAAATGAAAATGTAATTTCCCCTTTAAAATGTATTTCTCATTACTTTTCAGAGCCTGGCAACTTTGTTTTTACTAAGAAACATTTGTAGCACAGTCATAAAAACCAAAATTAGGTTTATTTCAAGAAAAAGAATGGTATAATTTGCTCTGAGAGGAAACAGTTTCTTTTAAAAATGAGCAAAATAAGCAACCTGTAGAAAAAGGTGGCGTAAAAAGTAGAATAATTTATTTTGCAGGCTGATAACATGTGTGTATGTACATGTACATACCTACACGTATTTTGAGTTTATTGGTAGAAGGTTCTTTGATTTTGTAATCATGTGAATTATTAAATCTGAATGATTTAGAAGTATTTCAAAGTAGCTCTTGATGAAAATATTATAATTTTATTTAAAACTGTACAAACAAATCGTATCTTATGCATATTTCCAGCACTTTGTTTCACTATTGCTGCCTTTATTAAGACAGGACTTGGTAGATTATATGGAACTGATTGTTTTGAACTTGATAAGTTAACTAATCCAATGTAGAGAAAACTTGCTAATTCTGAAATTCTATCCATTAAAAATTTTTTTTGACTTTGTCCCATGACTGAAATGTCTGAAAATGCATTAGTTTCTTTAGGAAAGGAAGGTTACCAAAATTAAACTCTCTGATTTCTGGTAACTTCTGAATTTAAGAAAGACTGGGATTTAATTCAAGATATTCTATGATGCTTTTAGACACATATAGATCAAAGCCTAAAATTTGATTTAATTTAAAGGTGTCTAATGACTTGTTCTGAAAATTAGAATCTCTGCCAATCTGTGAGATTAGGTTCTTTGAAGTTATTTGCTCCTTTTAGAGAAGTTACAAGTTTTGTCTCTCTCTGATCTGATTCTGTACAGCATCATTAAATTATTTTTTTCTTATTGCTCGTGAAATATGGAGATCTTTTGGCCCAATCAAGAAATGGGCTTGTATCACTGCAACCTTCCTTATATTCCAGAAATTAAAACTCCTGCCAATTTATATTAAAAAATTTTTTTCAGTCACCTACCAGGAGAAATTTTAATTTTGTATAGATGTTAATGCTTTAAGGTGTTCTGTAAATGAGGACATTTATGTTGCTGCAGTGTTCTTCCTTTTTGACTGATACCTGCATTAAATTAAATAAGGAAGAATAAAATATGCTAAATTGGGGATATTTTTGTTTCTTCTTGTCAAGACTTAAAAACCTTTTTTTCTGGAATAGTTGGAGGGAGATGTATGTCTACTGCTGTAAATACTTTTGTGAGTGAAAAAAATGGTCACTTACAGATATTTTTATCTTTGAAACTAAACACTATTCCTTTAAATCATTTTGTGCAAATGTAAGCACCTACTGTTTGTTTGAAAATGTTTTTAAAATTCAGAACATTTTCCCCAGAGAATAAATTGGTCTTTATAATTTAAAGGAATTTGTGTGTTTGAGCCATTTAATATTACTGTGAGGAATACAAGAAGATATAATACAGGTTGAGTTGAAAGAGTGGAGATGATTTCAGAACTGATAGGATCAAAGTTTATATTTTAACATAGGGCTATTTTTACCAAGGAATCTTACAACTTAAACCTGTTTGTCAAATGAACTAGGCTTCAGACCCCTGAATGGCTTTCTTGTTTTTCATCTATTCTGCTATGCTGCTGCTCATCCCTCCATACAGCCCTTCCCCCTCTCAAACTTCTTCCTCTGATCTTTAAAATTTGCTTTAAAAACATTTTTCTTTACACCTCTCATTTGTGCATTTTCTCAATAAATTAAAAACTGGGCTAATACAGAGAATAAATGTTCGATATTAAAGGGTAACATCTGACATATATTCTGTACCTTGTCTCATCATTAGCATAGTGAATGGAGTATATAGTTACTTTCAACATACGACAAACTAATTCCTTTGGGATGCTTTCTGTTTGACTAATTATTTTATTTTCTAATCAGTTATTCCCTTGCATTAAAAAGAAACCTTTGTTAAAGCTGAAACATTGAAATGAGTATATTGGTTTGTTACCTTAGAAAAATAGAGAGAGGAGGAAGGTACTTTTCCTATTTGTAAATTCCTGGAATAATAATTTTTCTTTGGTTATAAAAATGGTATGAAAACCTTTTTTGTTTGAATTGCATATAAGCAGTTTCAGAATAATTCTTGAAATTTGATTAAAATAATCGTAATTATGGAATTTATAACTAAACCATTTTAGAATGGAAGTAATTTATAAATCTGAATGGTTCATATCACCATATGCTGGGGGAGAGGATTATTGCTATAACCATTTTATTCTTTTTTGTTGTGGTTTATTTGTTAAATTTTTATTACTCAAAGCTTGAAGAGGACAAATGGTTGAAGGAAAAGTATCAACTGACTTTGTTAACTATTCAGAAAAATCCATACATATTTCCTTTGTATATTGGAGTCAGACTGGATTTTTTGAAATTATGGCATAAGAAAGTACATCTCTTAATTTTTAATGTGAAAAAGTTTTTTTCTGCTTTAATAGGATCAAATCTTTTATTTTATACTTTTTTTCCCAAGCGTGAAGTAGATGTTACCTTTAATTCTAACTCTACAGAACAAATATATGTTATAGTTGAGTAAAGTTAATGTTTTCTATTTTCTAAGGATTTGGGTGCGGACTTACAGTCAATTCTACAAAATGTGCTGTATTTTAAATTTTGCAAATCAGTTCAAATGGAAGCTTCTTGCATTTGATTCCTCAAGTCACATCTTTACATTGCAAATTATAAACTGTTATCTCACCTGCCTTCATTTAAGAACAATCCACAGTCAATTACAATGTAAAGTAATGTTTTTATTACTGTTTTCAACAAGACAGCTCAGGGTGAGGGTAGAGGTGCAGGAGAGGGAGGGGCACAGTCTGACATTGGCACTGAGATACGTTTAACATCAGTAAAACTTTTTTTAAAAGAGAAATTTCACATATAGTTAAATAATTTTTTCACTTGGTGACAACATTCAGGCAACCAAAAGCAAAACGAAATATGAGGGGGGATGGGGTGAAGAGAAAAAGGATAGGGGGAAAGAAGGAAAAGGGGGAAACTACTATACATTGATTTGAAAATGTACCTTGGGTTTCATTTTGTGGTGGCACAGCCCGATTGCTTCTTTTGTGTGACCTTTTAAATTCACATTGTTTGGAAGAAAACGATCACTTTTGTGCAAGAATGTGATTTGTTTTGGTTGGGTTGCTCTCTTTTTGTTTGCTTCTTAATTAACGAAGGTCTTCTGCCTGATTCCTATTTCAGGTGACTTACATAAAAGTTTGTGTCCAGAGTTTCTGCTGTTTATCGCTGAGTTGTGTGTTGTGTGTCTGAGAGAGCACGCCCGTTTGTGTCGCTTTTCAAGCAGTCCCCAGCACCCTATAGTTTGTCCAGGCTTTTGGGATTGGTGAGAATTTCCCTGGCCAACCTCCAGGTCTGCTTGGCAGCGCTCTCCAGGGCCGAATGGGGCTTGCCCTGAAAGAGGTCGAGGTTGGGCAGAAAGTAGTGAGGGCAGCGGCGGCACTGCAGGCAGGAGATGAGCTGCAGCAGGATGCCGTTGAGCCGGTCGCCCAGGCACGACTCGTCCCAGTCCGTTTCTCGCGGGTGTTTCTCGCACTCGTACAGCAGCAGCGTCTTCATGTGGTAGTTATTGAGCGGCTGGCCGGGTAGCTCCAGGTGGCGGTCCCGCAGAGTCTTCAGCACTGAGAGGCACTTGTTTCGGCAGCCTCCCATCAGCAGGCGGTTCTCCGCCTCTCCGAACTGTAGCACCCAGGCGTCGCTCTCTGCCGAGCTCTGCTTGCCGGTCAGCGAGTAGCACTCCTTCGAGAGCAAGTTGAACCCTTCGGCCTTGACCTCGGCCACCCTATTGGGGCCGGGCCAGGGGATGTGGGGCATAGGCCACTGTGCCGCGCTTCGAGGCCAGATCCCGGTACACTTGAACGCCGGAGTGATTTGCACCACATAGCGCTCTCTGATGCGCAACTTGACCTCGCTGGTGTCCGCAATCATCTTGACCACATCCCGATAGCTGCACTTGTCCACCGCCTGGGCCACCAGCGTCTGGAAACGCGAGCGGATCTTACGCGCTGAGAGATAGCCCGACGCTGTGATGAACTCGACCCAGAGAGACATGCTGCGCTTCCGCCCATCGCTCAGTTTGAGCACCGCGCAGCCGGGTAGCGAGCCGTCGTCCACGAAGTTGAAGACGCCCATCTGGTTTAGGTAGAGCACCACCTCAAATTCAGTGGGTGAAATGACCTCAAGCCCCTCGTAGCGGGCATCGATCTCGCTCAAGGAGCTGATGAAGCGAGGCTCCTGCACCTCCACTTCCTTGAGCACGTCCGAGACCACCTTACAGACCTCTCGAATGGTTTTGGCGATGGCCGCCTTGCGCGCCTGGCAGCGCTCAGTGTAATATTTATTGAGCTGGTAAACCAGCTTGGCCTGAGCGGCAATCATGTTGGGGCACAGGTCCGGGCTATACACCGGCGTCTCGCAATACGTTGAGGGATCCAAGGCTCACGCACTGGTGGTGGCCCAGCGGCTTTCGAAAGAGGCGGTGCGCTCCCGGTTAAGCCCCACTTTCACTCTTGTTTTCCACCTGGGCTGACCGGCTGATACTGTAGCCGGCTTGTTTTTTCCTTTTCCCTCTTTCGAAACCTTTTTTCTTCTGCAGAAAAATTAGGGGAGAAAAGATGATTTTCTAAAAAAAAAAAAAGTACCTCCTGGGACCTTTTTGCTCTCTCTTATGATATGTAAAGACGGTATGCGAGAGAAGCGGGATGGGGGTGAGGAAGGAGAAGGAAAGAGAAAAAAACTCAGGATACCAAAAGGTTAGGCTTAGATGTCTGCAGCCGAGATTGCCCAGAAATCTGAAAACGAAGTTTTTTAAGTGCCAAAGTAAATTTAAAAATAAAAGCGAAACATTCAGTGGTTCATTCTTAAACTTTTCTTCCACGCTGGTAGGACTTCTTCGCTCAGTGTAGGTGAATGCCTTCTTCCTCACCCTCCCCCAAGTGGAAGGTGCAGGAGGTAATTAATGTTCAGAGAGCTGCGAAGTACAACTCAGTCCGCCGTGCACTTGGAGGTTTGCTGACGCCCCGCAGTCTCAGCGTGTTGGTCTCCTCTCTTCTCAGGGGGTCGTGTTGTCTCAGTTTTCCTCTTTTCCTACTGGAGGCGTTGTTTGGACTGGATTGGTTTGTTTGTAGTGGGTTCTTCTTGTATTTCTTTAGGTGCAAACCACTGGAAGTTGTTTGATAATCATTTCTGCTTCGTAATTTATACTTTTGGCTCTCACAAAATCCGTTTTAGTGTGACGAAGTCGTTGCTTGCGTTGCATCTGGGGTGTAGTTATAACGATTCAGGGTTTTCCTTCTCCTCCTCTAGGTTGCTTGTACAGATTCCACTTTCTGAGTCGTCTCTCCCCCTCCTTTCCCCTCCGACCTCTTTCTCGCCCCGCACTCCCCCTGCTTGTCTCCCCCTCCCCCCTTCCTCGTGCTCGCTCTCTCTTCTCTCCTTTCTCTCTCTCCCTCTCTCTTTCTCTCTCTCCCTCGCTGTTTCCTGGAGTTATTTAGTTTATGAATGGTCCCAGGGCCATCATGAGGGGGTGGAGCTTCAGTTCCTACAATCGCTATCCGAGCTGTCAGTGCTTTAGCCAATCCGAGAGAGAAGACAGGCAGGCTTGGCGAACGGTAGCAGCCACCACTGCACTTGATAAAGAAAGAGGGTAAAGAGAGAAGTAAGAAAAGAGGAGGAGATAATGGAAGTCAAATACATGCACACATTTTACAACCCTTCCTCTTTATCCTCCTCTCTTATCAGCAAAGAAGAAAAAGAGTTTATATAGAAGGGACTCTCCTGGAGATGGCTGGAATAACGCGAGGGAGAGTAGCAGTGGTTCAGAAAGGCTCACTTTTTTTTTTTTTTTTTTAAATGAATCTATCAACATTGTGTAGGAGAAGGTGAAAACTGTAACAAAATTACTTTGGCTTGAAGGCAAATGGGAGGAGAAAGGGGAATCTGGGAAAGGACCTAATTTTTCCAGGTTTTTTTCCTCCTTTAAAGTCTTACTCCTTTCTCTTCCCCTCCTCTCCCATTGTTGCCAAGAATCAGAGCAATCGCTGTATATGTGCACCAGTGGGGGTTGGAGTGGATATAAGGTGAGGGTTTATAACCATAAATCTCTTTTTAGTAATTTCGATATGCTGTTGAAAAACAGGGCAGGGCAAAAACTAGTCCAAGCACCTTGTTTGATAATTATTTCACAATTAAGATTCACATATATTTAATACATTATTTTATCGTTGCAAGAATTAACTAGTTACGAGAGAGAAAATATCTAAGTTGTGAGAAATGGTGCAAATTTATATGTCGTAGAACTTAGTAGGATATACTTTTAAAATAAGCTACTAAAATTGTTTCAAACTTAATGAAAAACAAGGGAAGTAAGTATAAACCTAAAGTTTTCTTAAAATTGTACTGTTGTAAATCTAACTGTGAATGTATTCTTAGGGGGTACAGGTACAGTTTCATTTGTAAAATGATTTTATTTTCATAATTGACTCTTGCTTTTAAGAGACTTCACTGCCACAAAAATCTATAACTATCCTGTTATTGATTACACAGATGGCTTCACTCCTCCCTAGGCATTTCAATGAAAGACATGCATGTGCTTTTTAGTACATGTATTATCCTAAACAAGTTGTACCCACTGTACCCTTTCGATACTTTTGGGTGAAAAAAACAAAGCTAGAACATTGTTTCTGATTTGCTTAATATTGAGGGTTTATGTATGAACCTAAAATGTCTGGATTCTGAATCTTTTTAACGTGTATCAGGTAGACGTGATTATTTTTAGTTTGATTTCGGAGGTTATATTCCAGCCCCGGGTTATGCGATAAAAATAAAAATCTATGAGTCCATTTGGGTGAAGACTTCGTTTTAGAAACCTGGTAGTTGGGCTTTTTCAAAACCCCTTGGGAAGGCTTGACTTACCCTCTTAAAGTCCGCCCGGGTGAACCTGAATTGAATCGCATAGGGTAGTTAATTGCTTTCCATCTACTTGGTATCAGACAATTGGGTCTCTTGGTTCTTTCTTACATACCTGGTGCGGACCACAGGCAGTTTGTCACCCTTCCTCTCTCGTTGGCTTAAGTCCCTTTCTAAAGAATATTTGCTTAAAAAAATATATCTCGGATTTGTTGCTTAGGGTTTGTCTTCCAGGGATTAAGAAGAACAGTCAGAAGTAAGCGTCCGCGCGACTCCAGAGCTTTAGTTAACTTCTCTAGAGGGGCAGAGACTTGGGCGGCTTGACCTCCAGCCTTCTCCCGGGAGGCCGCGTGCGTCCGGGAACGCCTCGTAGCCTAAGGATGGAGGGGAACTCGCGCCCTCGGGGTTCGCGCGTGTGGAAGCCCTGCTCTAACCCAGGAGGCCACGCCGGCGCTCAGGGAACTGCCTGGGCCGGAGGGCACTGCGCTGGCGGGAGAGCGCTACTGGCCGGGAGGGGCTCCGTGGCTGCTTCTCCGAGGGCAGTTACTGGGCGGAGACTGGTGGCGGGGATAGAGGGTGCGGAGCTTTCCTGCCCCACTCTCGAGGTGGTCGCTTCGTCGTGGCGTCTGGTTCGCGAATGGCCCGGCCCGCGACGCTCCCGAGAGTGAGTGAGTGCAAACAGCCTCAGGGGTGGCGGAGTTGGTCCGCAGGGTTCCGCCGCCGCGCCGCATGTCCCGCGCCCTCTCCTCTCCTCTGGGGTGGGGCGGCCCAGGCCGCTCGGACCTTCGCTCCACCACTCGCCGGACACCCCGCTGCACCTCCACTCGCAGCTCTGTCAAGCTCGGCTAAGTTTCCTCTCATCCTTGCCCCCACGCTTCTCCACTTTTGCATACAGAGGCCGAAGGATGATAAAACGTTACAAATGTTTTGATTTAAAAACAATTCATTACCAATTTACCCTGTCTTAGGTAGATGCTCTAGTAAATAATAAATCAGTTAAACAAAGGCGACTTTAATTTATGGCCGTGGTACTAATTAGAAACATCATTCGAGCAATAAACTTAAACACTTCCAGCAAATAATGCTCCCTCTTGCTGGCTCTTTCTCCCCCCTCCCCCACCCCAACTCACTCTGGCTGCCTCTGCTCTAAGAGCAGCTTCAGCTGCGCCTTTGCGGTCCTCTCTTCCTCTGGTTGAATAATTGAAGGGGGAAACGGTATCCGAAGAGGCTGTAATTGAGAGAGCCCCTGTCACCTCTGCTTTTATGTATGTTAGTATAGAAGTCCATCAGCAGCTCCTTGATGGTGTATTAAAACGAACTGGCAGCTCCTTCTGCAGGAGATACTATATTCTATTAAAGGAGACCAAGTGAGAGAAAGAAATTCTAGAGGCTAAAAGCCACTTCAGGTCTTCAGACCGATTCATCTGTATTCTCTTGTTATAATCCGTCTCATCATACTTGAGTTAATGAGGCAAAGGAGGGGGTGCGAAATCTGATGGTCCTTGACAAATTCATTAGGGAGGCTGCAGGACATTTTATTTGACTGTTAAACATCTTGTTTGTTTGGCTTAGGCAGTGCCAACGTCAGTATGCTTCTGCCCAGAGCTGTGGTGCTGGGCTGGCTGCAGCACATTCCTAAAAAGGGAAGGAGGACATTCAGGGTGTGATTTGAATTTTTTGTTTTGGATTTCGGGTAGTCCATAACCTTCAGACTTCCCTAGGCTTTACCTCTTGCATCATTACATTAGGAACATGAAGAATGTAGGTGATAGTACTGAAGTGGGCATGTTTTTAGTTACTATAAGCTAAAATATGTGGATGTTTAAAACTTTAGTCTGAAAATTTCCCAGTTTCTTCAAAAAATTGAGTCGGGTTGTTAATGTACTAGTTTTATAGCAATGTGAATGTTTAAGGTCCATTAAAATAACCAGATTACTCATTACATCCTATTTTTACTAATGGTGGTTAAATAAACTTTTAATTATTAATGGAATTTCCTATTTCACCGAAACCTTTATGAGTACAGAAACTTGGAAATAAAAAATTATTTATACAAATACATTTTCAAGAAAAAGTTGGCATATTTTAAGGAAATTTTTATAATTAAAATTAGAACCAAAACTGAATACTTTAGTGCCAAAATAAGGTGATGAGTTGACAGAATACTTTAAAAAGTGAAAATATTTCTAATTGAAGAATAATGGGTAATTAAGTTGACTGCTAACCTTACAATGTTTTATTCTAAGATAATAATACAGTATTAGATTTATCAACATTTTCTTGAAAAGTAGTACATAATCCAATTGTGATACTTTCTTGCATAGAGAATTCAGTTATATTTTCCTTCAGCATTGACTGAGCTTGAGCTTAAATGCTTTGAGAAAGAATCCTCTTCCATTTATAGGAAAATAGTTTGGAAGTAAAAATACCTAATGCCCTTTGCCTGTCATTTTTATACATTCCTGGACTGCTGATGAATCTTGAATGGCTGCAGGGAATGTATGCATTTGAAAAGAAATGATGCAGTAGTTCATGTTGTGTTTCTCAGGAGCAAAACCAAACTAATGGCTGAAGTCAGTGCTTCTGTAACATGACAGTTATAATCCTGTTTGTGTTTCCAGAGAATACAAAATTCTTAAACTGTTTTATTTTTTGCTGATCTTTACTTAAAAATGTATTTACTGAGTTAACTTTAGTGCATTTGTTACTTTATCATGTTAGCGAGACTTAAAAGGTATCTATTATTTTATTATCTGTAAAAATAATATATGGTATCTCAATCATCTTTGCTAAAGAGTAAACAAATGTTAGAATACATGGTTTTGTTTTCCGGGAAACATTTTAGAAGCTTTCAAAAAATAATCAGATTATTGACTTCAGAAAAGAAAGTATCTCTGGAGGATTTATACTTTTTGGAAAACAAAGGACTACATGTTTACTGGTATATAGTCTTATCCTCTAAAATCTAACATTGAAACGTCTATGTGGGTGCTAAATTTTTAGTTCTTATATACTTAATCATTGTACATACTTATAAAAATGCTTGTTTTTTAAAACAACATTCATTTTTATTTTTGGTCAAATTGTAAATAAGGAAATAAAACACTATTAAGTTCTCTGAATTTAAAAATTATTTCACTAAAAACAGAAAAAGTAAATAACCCAGACATGATTGGTTAGTATATTCTAGTTGACGACATTTTATTGAAGTAATTATATTTAAATATATGTAAGATGCATTAATGACAGTCATCAAGATTATACTATCCACATTATAAGTCACAGTAAAACTATATACTCTTTTATTCTCTGTGAAAGGATTTAGTTTTTTAAAATTGCAAAGTGTTAAGGAGATTGTTTCTAAACTATTTGTAATTATTATTCTGGAATCAATCTAAAATAACCAATAATTGAATATTTGCCTTGAACAGTTCACCATAGTGCTTATTAATAATTTTATATGGTCAAGCATGCTGTTGAAACAAGTTATTCTTCCCCCCTCACAAAATAGCCTTAACAAAAAAAATTTTTTTTTTACTCTCTTTGATTTGTAACCGAAGGATATCG